TAAATACAGGACCATAAATAATCTCTTGTACTTTTAAAAAATCTTCACCAGATTTTCAAATTGAGGAGACAAATATATACAAAAATGGCAATGCATACAGAATATGATATTTATAAACTGTCCTCTCTTTAAAATTAATCCCTTCTCCATTATTAAATGCCCTGTAGATCTCAGTGGTCTCCAGATATTTAATGTGTGCCCTAACATAAACCCTGTATAGCAATCATGTCTCCTGTAGACCAACACATACTGTACATTCTCACTTCTGGCATGTGGCTAAGGCCATGGATGAAACTTTCTTTCTGATTGATCTTGAAGCACCAATATACGAACATGAATATACAGCTCTCCCTTGATAGTCCGACGTTTTCTAATCCAACATGCTCAGTAGTTCGACGCACCTACCATCAAGGTACCTGTCCCCGTTACGTGTCTGCTTGCACAGAAGCATGTCGGGAATCTCCCCATCCAATTTTTACACGATGACACATTTCGTGTGTTTTCTGTGAGCAGTTCTGTTCAAATAGTTGGAGTAGGGAATATTGTAAGCTACTGCTAGCAAAACAATGCAAAATATGTAATTATTTGCAGTAATCCAGACACTTTTGGTAATCCAACACCCCTTTGGTCCCATACCTGTCAGACTATTAAGGGAGAGCTGTACTATCAGAAATTACCATTCTCATAAAATGCCTATACACTTGTCTATGTTGATGTCATTGTATTGTTTATGGAGTAGACTCTAGCCTGATAATCTTCCGCTGATATCTTCTGGAAAAAATTAAGAAAACGCAGGCATCAGAATTGGCAGAATGTGTACCATCAGCTTGGAAACAAATCCAAGAAAGAAACTACTGCAGCACTCATTTTAAAAATTCCAGCAAGGAGTTGCATAACTTTCCCAGCAAAAAATTTAAAATTGCTTGTGGCACCATCTGCTAAAAGTTTATTTTAATAAACTCTCGTAATAATATCACTTATTACAAAATAGCAAAATGCTTGATTTTGAGTAGAGATGAGTTTTATAAACAATTCTAAATGCTAATAACAAGTAAAATCTTTAAATCCAACACTACTCGAGATAGAACATGTGACCCCTTCGACCTTTAACCACTAAAATTTAACAGCAATCCCTCCTAATATACAGATCTCCCTGAAAAATTTCAAAAATTTTCAACAAATATATATGAAAACTGTTATTAAATATCAAAACCCTGAAATAATTACTATAAATAATGCAAAATACAATATATCAAAAATCCAAAAAGCAAATATACAAAGCTTTCCCAACAATTGGAGACTTACAAGTTAAACTACAACTGTCTTAGAATTATCTCCACAAAAATCGATAAGCAAAATACCAGAGGATATCGAAAAATCACAATACTCCAAAAGTTTTTTTACCGCAAAGAAAAACCTTCCTCGTTTTGTAATGAGTCATCAGCAGACTGGGTACCAACATTATACATGGGGTATGAGAGTGGCCACAACCCAACTGCATATCAGGAGTGTTATGAAAGAGCACAATCACACAGCCAATTGTAAGATAGTGATGGACCTTTTAAAGATTTTGTAAACTTTCATTTGTGACGTCAAAATCAAATAGTTTATGATGTCACCAAATTTTACTTTAGGCCACGACTCTCGGTCTACAAGAAGATGCCGGCTTTGTACGAATCGGCACCTTGACATAAATGAAACTCTCTCTTCATATAAAGCAGTATCTTATCTTGTCCGACTGCAAGAATACCCTGCCAGAAAAGCATTGTTCATGATAGAAAAATACTGCAGTTGTATTAAGTTTAAATTGAAAAAAAGCTCTGCCAACCTGTACCAATACAACAAACCGCATGCAAGCTAAGCAAGCAGAAGCTAGACCACAAACATGGCGAAGGGACAAAGTAAATGTGCGACCTTGCAACCTCTCTATATACACCTCCAGTACAAACATGGCACAGGAGGTGGAGCGATGACGATTTGGTCACATGAGATGACGTTCGTGTAAATTCTCTATTTAGATGTAAATATGATCCTATTTGAAGGGTGTGGGAATTGTACAAATGCTCCTTAAGTAGAGATGTCCGCTATTCGGAAGTGTCCGTTAATGGATGGTGTAAGAAGTCGACTCCGACCCATTCTATTTTGTTTGAGGAGTATTTTTAGTTCATTATCCTATTTATTTTGGGCACATTTTATTTCATTTGGGATTCTATCATTTCTGGGTTTGAGAGACATCTCAGGAGTGGGAGAATTCCACGGGAAGTTAAAAGAATAATCTCCCATCCCAAATTGGCATCGGAAACACAATAAAAAAAATTATAAAATAACTCATAAGAGCGATGACATGTATTAACAAGACAACATTTCATTCATTCTAGCAATCTAACGATTAAATATGTAAATAAAGTCGAGTGGGCATATGCATGTAAAGTCATCCCAACTGCACTTTAAGGAAGTGAAATTAATGTTGCTCACCAAAATAACATAACTTAGCTATTTGTAAATAAACGATGGAAATTATTGGTTTATATTTTAAAAATACACACCTTTATTTATGTAAATTAGACTGGAAGGACAATTAATTCGAAATTAATTTCTAATTCTTCCACTGCTAAGCGATTACATTCGACCCCCTATAACACTTATGATTTTTCTGTTTTATATGAATTCCATGTTGTACGAGTAACTTAGAGTTTACAAATACATGAGCCGTTCACAGCCCGGCACATGTATCTGTAAAATGTAAGTGACTCGTACAACATGGAATTCATATAAAACAGAAAAATCAACAGTGTTATAGGAGGGTCGACTGTATCTTTGCAAAACACTATTTTTCACCTTTCGTTTTGTTTTCTTATTGTTTGCTTGTAATAAATATACCATAAAGGTTGATAACTAGTAACCAAATGTTATTGCTTACCTGAAATAAAATCTTCCATTGGAATTTTTCTGGTTAATTCTCGAGAGCAATACAAATTGCCTTCGTCGTTAAAGCTCCTCAGTTTGGGGTCCTCGATGATAAATAATGCAGGAAAATAAAAACTGACGTTCCCTTGTTCTCGAGCGAAACAGGCATTACACCAAATTACACAACAATTCACCATAATGCTGTTCGCGACGAATAAACAACACAAGAACTCCAGCTAAAGAGCGCCTAAACACAAATAAAACGTAAACAAACCACAAAGATGGCGCCGGGAAAAACGCGCAAGCGCAACACGTACATCCGGCACTTTAATACGTCACATGCAAGTTGTCTATGTAAATGATGAGGATGTTTGTTTGTTGGTTCGCTATCCACTCCTAAGCCGTTCGACCAATTGCTACGAAATTCGCCTGTTACGTTTACATATTTCTAACCTATATAATGTCGTAATCTCACCCCCAAAATGTCTATTGGATTTATGTAAATGTACACGTAATTACATATAACGCCATCTGTTGATAATTTTTAAAGTAAACTAAATTAAATGTAATATTTTAAAGGTTTATCACACCGAGTGACATTTTAAAAATTCTTTATTCCTTTATTGTACACAATTCAATTTTTATGCGCCGTTTAGAGTGTCCCGTCCAATCCATTTGCTATTATGTATTCAATTAAAATGAGATTTTTACAGTTGAAAGAATAATACAGTATACACTGTATTTATAATTATATGCGCTACGTATACTATATCTCTGATAGAACATGTACCGATGTTGGTGACATCGATATTAAATAAATCAGCAACGAGTTGCTCGACTTTCCCGGCAACATTTAAAATTTTGGTAGCGCCATCTTTTAAAAATATATTTTATTAAGAAAAACTTTATTGGCATTAAGCTCGCCGGGTTGGCAACTCGACCGATTCCATTAACCGGAAGTCGAGTGACGCTACCGGAAGTAGCTAATACACGCGGCGTGTCGCTTCTAAGCGCTTCACGCCATTAATTTATTGCATATGAGAGGAAAAATGTCATAAGACAATCGATATCCACCCCAACTTATTATTCATTTAGTTCATTAATTAGAGAAGAGGAGGAAAATACGTGAAATTCCTACCCCTTAACGAAGTTCGACGAAGTCACGTGTTTGGAAGTCCATACATTCTTACGCTTCCCCATTAAACTCCGTCCAACCCTCGTCTAAGCTAATATTTTTTTTTTTTAAAAGCCACGTGTTTCTCACAAATACAAAACTTTACCGACACGTAGAATACGTGTCAAGGGCACTGCAACCTTGACTTTTTCGGGTATTTTTACAAAAGGGGGAAGGAAACGGGCAAGTATTTTTCATATTTTCTAAACGAAACGTCGACTCGAAATCAGAGCCTACAATTTTGTCGATGAAAAACGACCCGGTTCCGTTTTATCCATTGTTCATCACTCGGGTAATTTGCGGTCGACGAGAAGAAACGTTTATCAAAAACACACGATTTACAGTTTTCCTGTATACGGATCCATTGTTTCTCCTTTACGTAATTGCCGTCTTCTCCCGAACGTTACGAAGGGGGGAGGAAATTAACATGAAGGCATTCTTCCCCTTATTCCCCCTCCAATATACGCGTAATTACCGTATACAGCGCGCCGCCGCGTTTGGGGGTGATTTGCGTTGACCGTTCCCGGTGTCATTCGAGAAAAACGAGTTCCCCACTAGAACGGAGGTTATCGCCCTCGAAAATGGAAGAATATTCCCGAAGTGGAGGTAAACACGTGCGCCTAACCAATACCGTGCCAACGAGTCGCTGCAGGGAGTGATACTGTTGACAGAACGTTACTAAGAACACTACGAAAATATCCGGGACCTTTGATACTCGACCCGTTCGAATAAGGAAAAAAACACAGAAAATTCCCTAACAATACGACCCGATTTCGAGGAATGACCAGACGACCGAAGTGGGCCACTCACGTTCGGTTATGCCCGGCACGTTTCTTTACGAAACACAAATAAAACAATTGGAAAATGGCGGCGCGATTTATTTATTTATTTATTTCTCTGGACGGAAGAGACACACTCGAACGGTTTTTATCATACTTTATTGTTCATCGGTGAGCGAATACGGTACATCGAATCGAAACAAATAAAAAAAAAATGGCGTACGCCACTCCAAATCTTTGGCTGGAAACGTGGTAAAAAGGGGGAGAGCAGGCCAAAGTAGGAACTCCATTTTAAAAAAAGCTCTACAAAAATTAGCGAGACAATCTTCCGAATTCTCGATTTAAAGTACATTCAAAAAATATTTGGTGTAACGTTTCGACATTTAAATACAGACAAACAGACCGATTACGGATAACCAAAGCCAATCGTACATATACTGTATATAATAATAATAATAATTATTTAAAAAAAAATCAAAATGTGATATTGTATATTAAATACTGTATACGAAATTATAAAAGATCAAGCTTTGAGCTATTCAAATTCACACCATGCAATTTGATTTGAGAGAGAATTCTTCCAAAAAACAATGCAATTATATTTATATATATATTTTTTTTCTAACTGGCCGACGGATTAGAAAATTCCCGAAGACTTTCCTCCGGGGGGGTTTCTGATCTTCACGCAGGTGGCTGGATTTTGGGTCACGACGGTTCCTTCTCCCGTGATCGGATTGCCGACGACATCTGAAATACGTCGAACAATACGTCACAATACGGTAACTATACACCCGTGTGGTGTCCGCTGTTAAAAACACTATTCTAATCGTTATTTAAATCTAAAACACGCAAATGAAATTTTAAAAAAGTAAGAAATTTACAAATACAGTCAACACGGCCGCTGATGCCAATATAAAAATGGCCGCCGTTTTTAGAGTTAGTTGTATTTACAATACTAATAATATTCAATACACGGTTAAGCCAGCATTGTGGTATTAAAATGGTAGTAAAACTTCCGCCTTTACTATCATTTTTACTTGTATGCTGGCCTTCTGTATGATATACAGTAACGTGACGTAAAACGGCCCGTTTTATGAAGTTCGAAGATACTAATTACGTCATAAATCGAGGGATATAATCTATATAATAGTAGTAGTCTAAGGAATATAAACTAGTTACGTTAGAGGAGTTATTAATAAAATTTTATTAGCGTTAAGGGGTTGTGTGGAAAACGAACACATACCACCATTTTCGTTTTCGTGACCATTCACACCGTTCTCTTCTTCCTCGTCGTCGTATACTTCGCCAGTGATGGGGTTACGTCGTACTACAAATATATAATTCATGCGCATGCCAAAAAATTAAAACGACAACAAAACGGGTGTTAAACAAAACATAAAATAATTATTTTCAATAAACAAAACAAAAATAAAAACGCCAATTAGTCGCACGAATTAAAACGGGTTAAGAGGAGGTATTAATAATTAAAATTAACGAAATAAAAACTAAAAGAAAGGTGCGAAGGTAAACAATAGAAAAAAGACTCACCCTGTTTCTTAGCGCTATTCGAAGGGCTAGTGTTATTGTGGCCCTCATCGACAAATATATTTGATTTCATTCTATCTACGACTCTTCGAGGACTGGATTCTTCGACCGCCCCTCCGAATAATCTAGCTTGGGTGTCACTATCCCTCCTACCTGTGCAATTATGATTATTGGATGAAGGTTCTTCGTTGGCGAAGATCGAAGAAGACTGTTGGTGTTGCTGTCCTCGTCTCACGTTCTGTTGATTGGGGCTGCTGCACGATCCGAATATGTCGCTGCATTCTCCGCCCGGTGGCTTCAGTACTCTAAAAAAAACCAAAATTTTCACGATTTACAACAATGCAATGTGGCAAATTCATGTATCGAATCGAAATTGACACACAGACCCTTTGGGTACACATGGACAATCTGCTCCAAAGAGGACTACGGAAAATCGACCACTACTTACAGAGAGGGCTCCGGAGAAAGGCCCCAATATGCATTTTACCCCAAGCCTCCCATTAGCCTCAAGGAGGCCCTACATATTTAGATGTTAAACGCGAAGAAAACCCGGAAAATTCCAAGCGACCAAGACATGAACACGCTATCAAACTATCAGGTGTTCAGTGGTTTTATCCACTCGGTTACTGGCGGGGGCTAAGTAAAATTTGGCCAAAACGTCATACATGCCGTGTTTTAGCTGCAAAACATTCCCAAAAAAGGAAACAATGTTTACCTTGAATTAAGGGTGGCATCAGATCGCTTACACAACAAACACCCCGATTGTTTACTAAACAACTAATTTTACAAAATTTTAACACCAAAACTATAATTTAAGGCGAGTATAGATGATAATTCATTTATTTAATTGTTGTATAAGAAAAGAATTATTGGAGTTTGTAAACTTAATTTACATCAAAGCAATGCGCCCCTCCAAAAAAATTCACAATTTAATTATTACACGTGAACAATAAATAAGATAATGCTTAGCTTCGATAATCAGCAAGGCATTAGCATTAAAAATGAAATTGTGTCAAGGTATTTTTTGCCACTGTCTTATTAAGTGGTCGATAAGTCACTCATTTAACACTTCTTTTTTTGTGCCCATTGTTTATTAATTCAAAGAAAGGCACGCTCTAAATTAAGATTAAAAAAGAAATAAATTCAATTTTTGTCGGTTAGACACACTGCAATCGAGCAATATTCTAATTAAATATGCGCATGATTTAGCAACAATACGCACGCCAGACAATTGCAAAACACAGAATGTGCCAATTAGAAAATGTCGGCAAAGGATTCGAAGTTTTTAAACTAGTTCCACTCGATTTAATTTTCGTGCCGCGAGGTCACGAGTTAAATAATTAATCAACGAGAAAATTAAAATCGAATATGCCAAAAAAGGAATGAAAAATATTCTAGAGATGGTGGTGGAGATACGCGGATGTTAAAAATGTGTCGAGACCAATGCCACGGAAGTGGGACGTGGAAGTAAACCTTCACCTTTGGATCTGGCCCAAGAAAAGAATTTCGCATCCCCCTTTTGTACTTTTAAAGGAGGTATTTACAAACACTGCCTTTTCTACGGAATTTTTACCCGAAAATCTTACTTTGCTGAATCAAAACGAAGCGAATCGTGGCGCAGTTTTTGCGAGAGTTCAACGCACAAATAAAAAAAAACAAGCAATGAAATATCTATTGTTAGCGAACAGCACAATTTTTTTTGAACCCATTAAAAGATAAATACGTCACAGTACATTACGGTCCACGGGAGGGCAATAAATAGTCTTTCGCATTGTCATCAATTACAGTTTTATGTGCATTACATACTAATTACACCAGAATTCAAAACTTGGCCCATTGTTAATTCTCGCGTATTGCATCGATGAAATCTCAACTCTGTGCGATGTTCCGAGGGGATGACACCCGGGAGGACTTTCTATAGTATATATAACACCTAAACTGGGCCCAATATGTGGGAAAAAAACTCGTAAAACACGTGGCCAGCCCGCTGTTAGTCAAGAACCCACGACCTGTGTTCATCACTGGTTTTACCATTCGGTCAAACTCTTAACAAACGTTCGTACAAAGTGTGTTAATCGTATTCACATTTCTCGTATGAAATTTAAGTCTCGAAAACAAGTTTTTTTTTTTGTTTGTTTTTATTGGAAAAGAATCGGGTTAAACTGAAATCAATCCTGCCACATATCATATCTTGCGAGTGTAAAAATCCGATCACTGTTAAGAGCAAGGGAAAATATTGTGGATTAGTCACTAACTATACACACTACACCCACGAATGATATCTTCTACGCAACAATAAAGCGTAGTGTTGTCTAATTGTGAGTCATTGACGCGATTGTGAGACAAGGAGGAACTGTGGTGTAACTGCAATTCTCAGAAAAAAAACAAGCGTTACTTTAATGTCGGCAAGCCGATTTAAATGGCGGAAAAAAAAATCACGTAACAAATAAGAATTTCCAAATATTTGGAATCTTATCGAGCAAAACGTGATAAGAAGAAAATTTTATTTTCTAAATATTCTAAAACAACTTGCAGGAAATAATTTCTCATCCTAATTGCATGGCTGATGATCGGTGACTGAGGATAAATGGTCTGCTGCATACTAAACTCGAAAGTTTACAAAAATAAAAAGAAGACAATACATATATATTTTTTTGATTATTTTATAACTGATTTATACAATAAATAAGCGAAATTAGAACGAGAATATTTTTTATAAGTACGGTTTCAAAGTGAAATTAGAAAAGTAAAATGGCGGCACTTTTACAAGAAAACACAGTAGAACTTCCTAACGACGGCCACACGAGAATTTCTATCGATACAACCTCCAAATAGTAGCCACTCCCCGACAATTTACGTGGCCGTCTTACGGAGGTTCGACCGTATAAACTTTCCACGAACGCTGAGTCACCCCGATAAATTCTGAGAGATAAGAAATGACTCATAACTTTAATATTACAAATTCAAAACAATGTCTGGTCGATGATGCAACTAATCCAAGTCCCTTTAAAAATAGAATAAAAGACACAGCCGCGTAGAATAATAAAGTTACCATACCCCCCCACGTATGTTCCTCGTTAAGGACTTTAAAAAAGAAAATCAGAAAGAAAATCACGTGATTAAAACCTCACCTCTTGCCTCGGCCGATGTTATCTGTTTCGACGTGTCTGAAATCTAAGATGGGAGCCATTTGTTCTCTAACGGTAACGCCAGATTCAACTGGACAGCCCTCATCCTACACAAGTTTATATAGGGCGAACTCCGACATCTCTCATTGGTGTGTTTATAAGGCATGACGAGTCTAGTTTCCGCTTAACGTGATGCTGTTAGATCGTTTCCTTCAGCTGACTTTTCCTATCCCCCCTCAAAAAATACCATAACTAGAAGTATAACCTTTTAGCACAGTTTAGAACCGAGTCTCGAACGTAGCCCCCATTTCGGGTTTTCAATTAAAACGAGCGTAACGGAGAAATATGGAGGGGGCCCCTTTTTTCCGGTGCGAACTGGCCCCTCGAGTTACGATTTCCTAAATAGACGGGGGGAGCCCTTTTTTTCGTTACGTACTGACCCGTTACGTCTCCATTAATTCTCTAATCGTAGTTAACCATCTCGCTGCAAAAACTAGAAATCTTGGAGATGGGGCCGTAATCGAACTTCCCCCTCCCCCCGGAACACTCGACACCTTCCATAGATAAGAGGCCCGCGTAGAGGGTAAATTTGGCATGCCTCTCCCTAGAAGGAGAGGTCGAAGAAGTTTGAACTTTGACACGCCACACACGAGGCAGAAGACATAACTCGAAGCGACTTTCTAAATCATCCCCCCTCCCTGCTCTTTCCTCCCGCTTGTTTCGGGGGATAATTAGAATATTAATATTAATTTTCTTCGTGTAATTAGCGCACCGGTGCGTGAGAGCAGCGAGAAACGAAGTGTTTAACCTTGTGTACGATAGAGAGAAATCCTTCGAAAACACTAGGAAAAAAATTATAAAGAATTTTTATTGTTCGTTGCTGCTAATTAATAATCCGTATGCGACCGATTAACCGTACGTAAAATAAGCACGATTCATATAATTCGACGATAAAGTTTCGAGGGTCTTCACAGACCGGTTTTGAAGAATGGTTTACGAGATTAAAGAAAAAGCCACTGACTTAGCCCCTTTTGTTTTCGACCCAAAAAGAGCAACGACCCGAAAAATGCACATGTGAAAGAGGAATTGAAGATTAGGCAATGCCGCGAATTGCTAGCAAGCGACTCAACATCCGGACGGGCACAACCCTACGTGTATATATAAGTGGCACACAAAAAGGAATTTTAAAATTCCGTTTTCGCAGAAGCCCAGCTCGAGAAATGAGTAACGTTATTCCGGAGTCGTCTTCTCGCACGCCGTTTTCTTTTTTTTTTTTTTTTAACCTCGATGTAACGTTTTAAAGCCGGGGTAGGGGGGAAATGCCCGTTTAAACGAGAATGCTGGGAATGGAATCGTCTCGTCGGCGATATCAGAAAGATAAAACCGATACATCGAGCGGGTTTTCAGACAGAGAGACAGACATCTTTTCAATTCTCATAAACACTCCTTCTGTAAGGTGAATAATCGCTGTACAGTCTGCGCAAAGGGGAGGAGAGTGGAGAGACTAGTCATCCGCCGTATATCGTTACAAAATTGTTTATTCGTAACGGAGATTAACGAATGACCGTGACAAAGTCCTCTTTCATTTTGGCATCTGCTCGTTATCAAGAAGTTGGGAGGATTTTTAAAGAAAATCGAATGACACTAGAAAACGAGAACCCCGTAAGAGGGGGGTGGGAGACGGAGATGTGACCTAGTAGCGTGTGTGTGCACGCGCGTGTGAAGCGCGAGCAACAGACGAATGCGTCTCCTCTTTAAATAGATTTGTGACTGATGGATTCGGGATAGAGAACTCGAAGGTGTACAATTTTTCTTTCTCGAATGGACGTTATCGTTTCATCTGTACTTCAACACCGGTTGTCGCGAGTTGCGCGATTGTTTTTCCTCATTTAATGACGACAGCCGATGAGAAAAAGCATATGCTTCGATTGAATTACCCCCAGACAACACTCCATACTAAAAACCTACTGTGTCACACGGGGGTTATCCAATACGAGAAAAAAAAAATCGATGAAATTCGGGTCAAGGTTAACATAGCATTGCTTTAATAATTTTACTATTAACAAGTAATAATTAGCAATTTTAAGAATATGATGAATCACCAACTAATTCTTGCAACACCCATTTTTCTTGTCAATACTCAAATTGACAGGAATACCAGAAAGCAAAAATATGTTTTCTGCTAAAAGATATATAAAAAAAAAAAAAAGGAGGAGGAGGAGGACAGCATAACTGATACTCTGGGTGACAGAAATATTACCGGCAACAAAATTATTTATTTTGTCATGGCAACAGATACCTCAACCAAAATAGAATTAACTAAAAGGGAATAGAAATAACTAAATCTAAAAACCTCTCCCATTAAAATCTATTCTATCAATGCGCATAGAAGTGGGATAAACTGTTAAATCGGGCAATCTGCATGCTGTTTAAATGTAGATAAACTTTAGAAAATACAATTCTACCTTGCAAGAAAGCTATTTCGCCGCTTCGAATGGCAGACATTCCACAGTTTTATAGGAAACAATTATATAAGAACACACTTAAAATACAAACTAACTTAAATTTTTTTGAAAGAGGGAGGAAAATAGCTTTCATCTTTAGAATTTCTAAGAATAGTATGGCTGTGAAATTTAAAGGGATGAAGTTTCTACAAGTTCATACTTTAAGAAGAAAAAAAACTATGAATATTAGAGTAAGAATAAACTTGATTATTCATAATTACAATCAATTAATTTGGCAAATCTTTAAATACATTTTAATTTGTTAAAAATATGCTTTGGTAAATCAATAACTTGACAACTTGAAAAGCAGAATTACTAGTAGATATCAACACCAGTACCTTAACAATACACAATTTGCAATATTCATGCTGTGAGTGACTGACACACCGAATTACATATCTATGTTGTAAAACATGGGTGTATAATTACGAAGGGAATGACCCGTCGGAATAGCGTCAGACGGGCGATTGCTAAACCCCGAATCAACTGCCAGATAAAATTTATTCAAATTATTATCACTGCGAGTGGATTTATAAATTATTATTATTAACACATTTCAAAATTTATCCTTAGAATAATTAATAAGTATTACATATACATTTTTATTGCATATACTACTTTTTCCACACACACAGCAGACTTGTTTGACATAAATTTGTCTTTCTTTTCCCAGATATTTGTCATTCATTTATATAAATAAAATTGCTCCTAAAATTTAAGTTACTTATACCTTTGTTTTGTGGGAAGAAACAATGAATGCGTTATCATAACAAATTGTCTCAATGATTTCAATGCTATACAAATAATTACAATAATAGAACTAAATTTTATCAAGTACAGATTGTTCTATTGGAAAGAAAAAACAATAGATTTTCAGAATGGATTTCAATAAAATTATAAAAACTTGCAAATAAAAAGGTCTTGGACGAGAGAGAAGAAATGATTTATTGTGTTGCTATCTTGTATCGTCAGAAATGTATGACAAACCTCTTTTGAGATCATTATAAAAATCATAAAAGCATTTATCATCTTATTTAATTTGCACCATTGTAAATCTCCGCCGAAATTATGTGGGTGATCTCATCTTTTTTGACATCATAAATTATGTACAATAATAAATGAAGATAATTAACTTAAAAATATAGCATTAAGCAATTAAACTATGCAAGTAATATTGTAGTTTTTTTTCAAATATTTGATGTGACTGATCCAGACATGCGTAACTGTTTGCCGTAAGTGAATCACTACAGTTCCATCAAATGTTTTTCCACATTCCATAAGTAGTCATCATTCAGAGGGAAAAAAAATTTCAGAAGATGCATACAAATGTGGGAAATTAGTCAAATTTATGACATTAACACTACTTAATAAAAAAAAAACACACGACCGGATAGCCAAGACAATTGTCTTAGCCTATAGTTCTCAGGAATCTGGGATTAAAAAAATACCAGGGATTTTTCAGAATCTGACATATTGCCCCAGCAATATGTCAGATTCCATTCCCCACTGTCCCACTGCCCTACGTGGACCCGGCAGGGTTCGACCAAGCAAATTAAATTTAGTGCCCACAGAGCAGAGTAAAAAAAATGCAGCACCTATTCCAGATCCAAGTTTAACTAATTTTCCAAAAAAGTCATTGGCACATTTTCAAATTTGCAGATCTAGAAAACAAAACAGTTAAGTTTGTGAAGTCCTCCATAAATAAACTAAGATATAGGATGTCATAGGTGAACTTACAGCAATTATTATTACTGGCAAGTCAACCTATGACGTCTTAAAATTAGCCAAACATCTTATAACATTACAGATTACGTGATCTCCTAATCTTGAGAGATTCTATTGTAATGACAAGGATAAATGGGAAGAGAAGCAAATGTTAATCATCTTAAGCCTCTTTGTAGCATCCCAAGAAAACAAATTCCAAGAAGGTAAGCACTATGCAGTCAACAAATGGAAATACTACTGAACTGGAATTGTCGGAATAAAAGTTTTATGCCATTAAAACAAACATTTTTATTAAAAAACACCCTCTGTGACGGTATGTTTCTTTACTAGAACTTTGAAGATATTTCTACTGCAAGGAGAGAAACATTTAAAATAAACGATCTTTTTATAAAAGGATGAATTTCGACACACTGTATCCACATATTGCTGTTTTGTTTTGATAATGGCATAACTTAAAACTGTTAATTTTGTAAAGGAAGCTGAAGATGTGTCAGCAACAACAACACTGGCCTATCTGCTCTCTGACAGAGGGACGTAGAAGTACACCATGTAAAAACATGATATAAGTACTCTAAAGGGTTGATTTATTCAAAAACAAGCAAAATCAGTTGTTTTTTTGTTGTGCCACTAATAAAACAAAACAATAATATGTATACAAAATATAAAAAATTTTATTTTTGACGAACTTCTAACCAAATGCATGTGAAACAAAGGAAACTCTACCCATAATCCAGTCTATTTACATACATAGTCAAATCTCCGAACAGTGGCCACCGACAAGAGCATAAAAAAGTTGTGGTCATTGTTCAGGTTATTTTGTGTGCATTTCAAAAGGAAACATTCCTAAAACACTGGCTGCTGTTTATAGGTGGCCATTATTGGAAATTCACCTATATTTTCAAATATATGAAAAATATTTTACATAGCATTTTGATAATATGTGACATGGATAATATTTAATTCCAATGATGATCAATAGACTTTGTTATAATTATAAAAGATATCAGGACAGTTAATTGTAAACTTCTAATATGGCTTATCAATGATTTTTATTATTCTATATATTAAATACTTTTAATTATTAAAACTTTAAATTTATTATTAGCGAAGATAACTAAACCTTCGATACTACAAACTGCAGAAAAATAAGCACTACTTTAAGCTATACACCATACATACATGCATGCATAATACATACTGTATATACACACAATCATGCGTAATACAAGCTGTATATATATATACACACAAACACACACAAATCATCAGTAGAAGTGAGAAAACAGCATTCAGACCTTACATTCCTACACATTCATAAGACTTGTTCTTGAAGTTTGTAGTTCATTCAACCTGTTTTTCAAGTACATCTGCTGTTCTTTAATTCTTCCCCATTTCATTCACTTTGGTAACCACACCTCTTTCAATTTTATTTCTACAATAAACAATTCATATTGCATCTTCAATTATCTTTTAAATTTTTTTTTTTTTGTGTTTGTGTGTGTGATAGCAACCATTTTAAAACTAAATCCGAGATAGCTAATAATGTTATCTCGCAGAATATCTAAGATGTTCATGTTAAAATAAAGGCACTGACACACATTCGGCGAGATGAGATTTTTAGACCAAGGTTTAATGCATTTGATCTCGACCACAATCATTTTCCTCGGTTATCCAGACAATGATTCTGGTAATCTTCGACCAAAGATCTTTTGATACTACCGAAAAATTAAGTTTAATATCACTTATCAATTTTTAAATATAAATTGTTAAATCACCATGAATAAAAAAAAATACTGTTTTTTTTGTAGAAATTTTGCTTTTAATTTTATTATTAAGTGAAATTCTATAATTAAATATAGGTTAAGACTTAGTATGAGATAAAATTGGAGTTGAGTAAGGGGAAAAAAAAAAAAAAAAATCACTCAGTTTCAGGAGCCAAATTATTTTATGAAGCTTTGATTTAAATCTGAAGAAAGGACAAACAGAATATGAATTTTTATAAAAAGATTTATATTTTCTCTGTTTAATTTGGATCTGAAGTATGCTTGCATAGGAATGTAAGGTCTAAATGCTGTTTTCTAATGATTTCTGTATGTATATACTGAACTATAAGATATATATACCATGTAAGCACACATAATATACCTTAAAGTAATGACCCTTTGAGATTTTTACATTTTTGGACTTGGGACCTTCAAAAACATCGAAAAATGCAAAAAAAATTTGGGGTTTTCCCATGTACGTATGGATGCATGTGTGGCACAATTCCGTTTATCCTCTTTGAAGCTTAATAACTCCTATGCTTTTTGTCAAAAACTTCTAAAATTTTGCATGGAGGTTTGTATATTATGGGATTGATGCTATTAAATTTTGGCAGTTAAAGGTCGAAGGAATGGAAAGATGGCGGTCGTGTGTCATATCTTGAGTGGGGTCGGACTTAACAATGATTTTACTTGTTATTAGCATTTACAATTTTTTTTTATAAAACCAATTCCAACTCTTAAATTAAGTTTTTTACCATTTTATTAGAATTAAAAATATATTTTATTAAAAACAAAAACTTTTTATAGCAAATGGCATCACACATGCAGTTTTCAATGTTGCCATGGAGGTTAAGCAACTCATTGCTGGAATTTTTCAATTCGTGTATTGTTGGTTACGTGAAACTTACGATACAAATTTCATATGATATTTGTATTTTGCCCTTTTTATTTGGATCCAAAGAAGGTACATTAAAGCTAGGTTTACATTGTCATATAAATCACTACAAATGAACACTAATAAAAACTTTGTATGCCAAAGGTATACAAACTTTATTTGTTGTTTATTCCTTACAACGTGATTGGTCTCTTGAAACTGAATAAGTAATTTTTAGTTTTCTTAGTATCGAATAAAGGAATGAACAGTCTCTGCATTACACATCAGAAATTATTAAATCACTGTATTAGTCATTAAACAATGATTTAATATAAATTTATTACATTTAGTAGAGTATTTCTATTCATATTGTAATGTTTCATTAAAATTATAAATTTGAAGTTATCTGCTGAATAAATTACATTACATATACTCAGAATTTACTTATTGTAATCATAAATAGTGTTGTTTGCCATTTAATGTTATGTCCCAAAACATGTTAATTAATTAATTAATTAAGTATAATAAAATGTTAATTAATTAACATGTTTTGTAAAACATGTTAATTATTTAAACATGTTAATTATTTAAAACATGTTAATTAATTAATTAAAATGTTTTGTAAAAGTATTTTGTATTAAAGTATTAAAATTTTGTAAAAGTATTTTATTATAATCAAAATTTGGTTATAGATTTAAATTTTGTTAGTAAATTTTAAGCTATAACTTTTGCATTGTTATTAGACTCCATACATAGCTGATAATATTTAACCTTTAGATATTAATTATTTTAATTGTTACTTGCTTTCAGTAATAGTATAAATTTGTATAAATTGTTAGCATTTCTTACTTCAACCATACAGTGAACAAATTACTACTAGGCACAGTTAATACTACTGTCCAAACACGAACACTGTGCATGCTTATGGTAGCAATCATATATCTTTAAAACAAAATCATAGACCATTGATTTTTATTATACTTCTAATTTCCTCAACTCATATATTATATAAAATGACAAAGCTTAATCAACTTTTGAGAATAAACTCAATTCTAAAAATAATATAGAAGAGGTTTTAGTAATGCTTTGCCTCAGTAAATAAGACAATTAAAAGTATATAGCTTGAAGATTTAACATGTTAGTAATACCAGAATTTTCACTAACTGCAACCTTATTTACTTATCCTGCTTAATATTATCGTAGGGTTATTGTTACCAGTATCGACAAATCCAAAAGTGATTACAATAAGTATATTCTAACGTACAAGTACATTGTAAAAATGGTAACATTTTAAGTAATATGAATGTTTACACTGCATAATATTTTTATATTAGGATATTTTAACATCTTTAAATTAGTATACATTTAAGATTTATATTAATTATAGAAAAAGATTTCATCCTATGTAAAATTTCATTAGTTATTAGTTACTTTATGGTGGTATTGTTCTTCCAGATTTGTTTTGGATGTCTGTAAATAAGTGTGTACATATTTTCCTGGTCACGTGTACAATGCATTTATTTGGAAAAAGTTCAGATGTTTAAAAATCCTAAATATAAACATTAACTGATATTCATGTACGGCTTAGCTAAAAGCATGCATTAAGATATTAAAACTACTATTTAAGAGACTAAAAGCTAATAAAATTCATTTCTCTGTTAAAGGTTAGTGTTTATTTTATAGTGCTATAATTCCATAATTAACAATCCTCATTCTAAAAGAATGTTTTAACAATGTGATAGTAAAGTTCAAAATATAATAAAACTTGATTAATTATAATTTGAATGCATACTGCATTTATTGAAATACAATATATTGTACTACCCATTGACAAAAATCATTTATTTCTTTTATAGTAAACAAAATATGGCTCAGGGCCTTATGCTAAAAGACTGAAATTTAAGGCTTTGCAGTGTAAAATTTATTGTTATTTAGTATGGTTGGAAGAGCCTTTTATATGCTATAATTAATGACTATAAATATATTATATAGGATGATTCTAAATTAATGTATCAATTATGCAAAGTTGTTCTAAAGAAACTATTGTTGAAAAACATGTGAGCCATTAATAGATAGAAAAACTCAGTTTATTTACACCACAAAAATTTACAAACATTCTACATAGGAACCACGTCACATCCACACAATAGTCAAGTTCTTGCCATAGGTGAGCCAGCATGTTTGCAACTATGGATTGGATGGCAACAGCAATATGCTGCCATAACTCTGGCAGATTTTATAGCAGAGATAGCACATTGACAGCATCATTCAATATCCTCAAAAGAAAAAAAATCTCAGCACACACTATCCTGAATGCTCACCATTTTGAACAGCAGTGCATCTTATCATGCAAAGAATACATAAACATGTAAAGTACTGATTTAAACTAATAAGTTTTTTATGCATTGATGGCTCTCATATTTTTCTATAATAAACAGTTCCTTTGTATTAATTATGCAAAGTTGTTCCATTCATGTAGAATCACTCTGTATTAAAAAACAAAATTATTCCTATTCAGCCATCACAGTTATAATCTATATTCTACAAATTCTTCATATAAATACTGTATAATTTGGACCACAGTCCAATAGTTACGGAAACAAGAAATAATTTAACAAGATGTTTTCATTATGGAAACAACAAAAACATCTACTCTATTTTACTGTACAATAACTGTATTTTTAAAAGTCAAATCAGTATATTTTTTATTTGGAAGTTAATCTATACTCTACTAACAATGAAACAATAACAAGTTCAACAACATTGGAGGTATAATCTAAATTAAGCATGTTTGCAAGCTTATTACTACAACATATTGTTTTTAATTAATTAAAAATTGATGTAAATAATGTAAAATGTATAAAGAAAATTTATAGAATGCTTAGTGGCTTGAATTTTGATTGTTTTAATGCCTTTAATTTTTTAAAACAAAGTAATCACTCGCTTTGTATGATGTGCAAGATAAATAAATAAAAATAAAATTTCTGAAGTGTGTAAGTGTGTAATATATTTAATTTAAAATATTTACAAGTAATAAGGGTACAGCAATTCATTCCATCTCAATTTAATTCTTTCTTTTATTTAGTTATTTTTCTTCTTTATTTCCAGCTAGTTTCTTTTAACTTGTTGCTTTTTTTTCTTTCACACCAAAGAAGTTATCAGTTACTTTGTCTAGTTCTGACAGTTCCTGATTGCTCTCAATGCATTCCTATTTTTTTCTTTCAACTGAAAAATAAAAGTAACATTAATTATATTTACTTGTCAGAATATCATCTGATAATGTGACTAACATAAGACAGAATATGTCTACACAAATTCTCAATTTTTTCATTATTAAAAGTTTACAAATAATATACTTAGTAACTTGATATATTTCTGATATGATTATAGCTAAGCTAATTTAAAAATATCAATAACTAAATCATATAAAGCTGAACAAAACTTTTTCTTCCTTCCTAATCAAAGTTATAGTAAAAATGATTTGTTCGTAAATTATATTGTAATACACATGATATGATTTGTTCGTAAATTATATTGTAATACACATAATTTTCATGTGTTCTTTCACATTGCTCTATCACAGACGTTACTGGAAGTGGATTCTAATTAACGTCTATTGAAAAAAGTACCCAATTTAAAAAAATGGTTCTAAGAATATACAAAATAAATCCAAGTTTTTAAAAATTAAAAATGTATCACTTGTTACAAGCAGATAATTCATTTCATTTTTCTATTATTTCAAAGAAAAAAACTTTATCAAAGTGTGACGATGCTTTATCAGAAAAACTATTGAAATAATAACCACAACAGTTTCAAATTGTTTTTATAGTATGTTCTATAGATGAGAACTGAAATAATGATGTAGTTATTTTTAAAAACTTATTTTAATAATAAAATAAAGTGTGCATTTAATGTTATGCTGTTATATTTAATTTGATTTGTTTATTTTCCTGTTTTAATTTATTTTTTTATAATTTTAACTTTCTGTATAATTCTAAATTTGAAAAAGTTTGTACATAAGACACATTCTATCTTTCAAATGTATTTGTTCTAACACACTCGATAATTTTCACAGCTGATAACGTATTTATTAAATTAAAAAAGATGAGAGAAAAAATGCTTAACGTTAAAAATTCTGATTATAAGTTGTGTGGATTCTGTTATTTAAATTTACACTAATATAAAACAATGTATTTCATTCATTAAATAACTAATTCTGATATAACTTTATTCCAAAATCTTTTTAGAAGTCATTTATATAAAACATATATGTGAAAACACAGAACTTTACTAACCTGAACACTTAATATTAATGGAAGAACTTTCATTTCCAATTCAAGAGATATAATTAACCCAAATAAAGTTGTTCTTTAGTGAGGAAATTATTTTTTCAATGATTTTCAACTCGTAATAATTTATAAATCAAAACTGTCTTCTTTTCTACCATTTCTTTTTATTTACATATCAGTGCTAATACAAAAAAATCAAATATGATAAATTAACAAAAATTAAAAGCATTTAAATACATAAAAGAATTTTATTATTTATTAATATAATTTTTTCTTCATTCTAAATTTAAAATATTTTATAAAAATGTAAAAAAACTGAATATATTTAAATAAAAACATATACAGTTAAACCTCTAAATAACGGAGATTTTTTCAGAAACTTTTCTTTTTTGAAATTCGTACAGAAAAATGCCCGTTATTTGGAGGTTTTGTTTGACAGTTTGACTGTATAATCAAAACAAACATAAATACAATAAAATAATATTAAACTTACTTTTATTTTATTCCATTATAAATTTTTCGATCCATTCGCATTCGACTTATGACAATTCTTTGCTCTAAATCTGTTCGAACATTGCTTCTTAACTGTTTTCCAGTTCTCCAATGCTTAATTTTATACTTCTTGTCAATAAAAACAATCAGAATTTGTTCTGTTGTTGCCATTATTTGTTTATATTGGATAGGAATTTACAGTAGATATTTTTTACATTTTTTTTTAAATGTTCTTGACCACACAAAGACTTCTGATTACATTTGACTTTACATAAATACTACTGTTATAATTCAATTTTGTCAACGTTGAATTTATTAGCCACAAATCCAAACATCTTTAGCAATGATCAGTATTTAATTTTACAAGATAAATTGTTGTAGACTTTGATATTATATCATGAAGTATGCAAGTGCATCAGAATGTAAACTGTTTCAATTTTAAGTGAGATGAAATTGGTTGTGGTGTGTTAACCAAAATTGTCAGATAGTTTACATAATAAAGTTGATTGACAAAAGATTTTCATTCAAAGTGATATGATACACAGACCTTTCACACTTAAATTCCTTCCTAATCTAATGCTTAGAGAAAATAATCTCTTTGCAGAAAAAACAATTATGGAACAAAGCAAGTATTTTTCTGTTTAACCTTTGAAGCTCCATTTACACTGTCACACAAACGACTATAAATGAATCATAATGAAACGTCGCATCATACTATGTGACACAAATTAAGTTAGGAGATGATTAGTGTTTGAAAGCTTTTTAACCAGTTGTGGAAAGTTGATGGGTCAAATGAACTAAAAGGTTGGCAAAAGTAGATACACACTCAATGAACTGGTCAAATATCATCCAAAGAGGGCAAACTCGCACTTTGTCTGGCAATGCAAACACAGCTTAAACAGAAAAATACTAATCTTTAACTTAAAAGGATAATTTATTAAAGATACTGTTATTGATTCAAATATTTTTGACGCCAGAATAAATGTATTTCAAATTCTTCAAAATGTTTTCATGTATTAAATTAGAATTTCTTAAAATACTATGATATTCATAAAGTTAAACCATTAATGTGAAATAGAAACCATTCAATTCATTATATCAATAGCAAGGTTGAAGTCGAAGTTTTAAACACGAAAACGTGTATGTCGAATGTTCAGTGTCGCTTTCCTGTAAGCCTAGAAGTTTGACAATGGTGTTTGGATAGTCAGTGGAATCATGCTTGACATTCCAAACACCATTGTCAAACTTCTAGGCTTACAGGAAAGCGGCACTGAACGTCCGACATACACGTTTTTGCATTTAAAACTTTGGACCCAACCTCGCTATTTACTTTAATAACTCCTGAAATTAAAGACTATGCAGTATTCTCCCAGGACTTTTATAATGGGTCCTAGGAGAACACTACATTAATTAGCTGAATATTCACTCAGCTAATTAATTTAGCAAATTGACATGACAATAATGAACAAGAATTTAAATATTTATATTTTGTATATATTTAATATATATTTTTTATAAACAAACAAAAAGAAACTAATGTATTTTATGGCATATAAGATGCAACTTAAAAAGCACATTGTCTTATATGTAAAATTGTGATTTTCCATAGGCTAATGAAATACCCAAAGGCTTCAGTAGGCTACAGGTAACTTCTACCTAATCTAACTCTAAACAAAAACATTTTTAATATTCTTCTTAGTCTACCAACAGACTTATTATTATTCCAAACTTATCAAACATTCAATAACAAGGACATAAATAGATTAACTCATAGAAACAACTTAGAAACGTTTGTGTAGAGATGAAGTTCTAGTGAAAAGTAGAGTAGTAAGGAGAAAGAAATTTTCTGCATTTGTAAAGTTATGTAGGAATACTAGTTTAAAAAATGGATTGGTACTAAGGAATTTAATGTGTTTTTATGGTTTTATTGGGTTTTAAAGACCTAATTGTAATGTCTTTAGTTATATGGATTCCAGTTAAAGTTCTTATTACTTTAGTCGACGAAGTGTTTTAATTTTTATAAGGAATGTTATAGAATTCATAAGTAAAACAATTATGATGGTATTTGATAAAAATACACATAAATGACTGCCTTCAGTGTAAATTCCAGCTGATGAGAAGTCAGGAAGACATGAAATGCATATTAGGAAACAAAGCTATTTCTTTGAGTTGATTCACGTATGTCCTTGTTATTGAATGTTTGATAAGACCAGAATAGTAATAGTCTGTTAGTACAGGATATGTTAGATAAACTAAATATATTTTCCTTTAAATATTCTATACTAAAATGAGGTGTCAATCAAAATAAATTATTATACAATGTTGATCATGATTCAGATGGTCTTATTTTAAGTGATTTTGAAATATAGTCTTATCCTACCTATATTAATTATTATAAAGAAACTTCTATCTGCATAAAATATAGTATACGAAACAGCTATTAATTATTTATATATCTGTGTTCCAAGGACCATGAATGCCCGAGTAATCACAAAAAATCCTTCAAATTTTCATGTTAGATGTGCAAAGATTTGTTCATACAGGCAATATGGAAATGCAGATTAAAAATATTTTGTTATTTCCCAATTTGCCATTAATCTTAAAACTTTTAAACTATATCATATAAAAAAAGTCATATTACATATCCATTATAAATGAATGTAAAGATCACATTTCCTTCTCTACAAAAATAGCAGTTTAAAACAGAAAACCACATCTTGAATTCATTAAATTAATATTTTATGTCCTTCATCATACTCTTAAATTTATCACAAGTTTCGTTCTGATCTTATTATGATTAATCACCATTTGTATATGCTTGAATGCTTCCTGAATTATGTTTTAACTTCATATTTAAAAAAAAAAATTGTTGCTAGATAAAAATATCAATGGAAAACTATTTTTTAATTATATACGTTTACAGTCAACCCCCTATAACACTGCTGATTATTCCGTTTTATATGAATTCCATGTTGTACGAGTCACTTAGATTTTACAAATACATGAGCCGTTCACAGCCCAGCACACGTATTTGTAAAATCTAAGTGACTCGTACAACATGGAATTCATATAAAACGGAATAATCAGCAGTGTTATAGGGGGTTGACTGTAAACGTATATAATTAAAAAATAGTTTTCCATTGATATTTTTATCTAGCAACAATTTTTTTTTTTAAATATGAAGTTAAAACATAATTCAGGAAGCATTCAAGCATATACAAATGGTGATTAATCATAATAAGATCAGAACGAAACTTGTGATAAATTTAAGAGTATGATGAAGGACATAAAATATTAATTTAATGAATTCAAGATGTGGTTTTCTGTTTTAAACTGCTATTTTTATAGAGAAGGAAATGTGATCTTTACATTCATTTATAATGGATATGTAATATGACTTTTTTTATATGATATAGTTTAAAAGTTTTAAGATTAATGGCAAATTGGGAAATAACAAAATATTTTTAATCTGCATTTCCATATTGCCTGTATGAACAAATCTTTGCACATCTAACATGAAAATTTGAAGGATTTTTTGTGATTACTCGGGCATTCATGGTCCTTGGAACACAGATATATAAATAATTAATAGCTGTTTCGTATACTATGTTTTATGCAGATAGAAGTTTCTTTATAATAATTAATATAGGTAGGATAAGACTATATTTCANAACTATCATCTGTACAGTATGTAAATTAGCTACCGTAAGTCTAATACATTTGTAATTTAAGTGTAATTTTATACATTTCTTGTAAAAGAGACATTTCTTATTCAACGGCGATAAAAATTCTTTATATTAATGATGTCTCCGAAGTTCAACGAAGTTTTCGCAGAAAAATAAGTTATCAGAAAACTTTCGTCATTGCTAATGCTTGTTTTCGTCGCGGAGGGACGCTCCGTGACGAAAACAAGCATTAGCAATGGCGGTGCACACTCGGTAAGTAATCCTACAATTTTTTGTTTATAGCATAGTTTATACGGATTATTCCCAAAAAAATATACGTATTTTGGAAATGTTGAGTCGGATTAGTCTAGAATCGATTAATTTTATGGAAGAAAATCTTTCAAACAGCCGTAGTCCGTAAACTTGACACGTGTCGGGTTGTGATTGGAAGGATTCGTAAGAAATCGGATTCCTAAAGAATGGAACGTATCTCTATCTTNGATCAGCATATATACATCGTTATCTATGATCTGTGCAAATTTCATGAATTATTTTTGCCGCGAAAATATTTTATGACGATTTATTAATTAGGTAATTAATCGCGCTATTGTTTTTTATGGGAGTTTTTTAATCAAATTAATTAAATAGTTCTAAACTTCTATTTGACTTCGGTAAAATTTTTTAAAACGCTATTGGATGTCTTTTATGAAATCAGCAGGTTTTTTTTTTTGTTTTCTGTTCAATAGAATTTTTTCCCCATACCTTTTTTCGGTTCCCTTATAATTTAATAGCATTAAAATTGACAATATTGTGTTATATTTGAACAGATGCCTAAGTTAGCTCCCCTCTTGCTTTAGAGTTTATACCAATATTCCCGAGACATAAGAACTACCCGGGAAAGCGGACTCCAGCTGTTCTCAAGGTCAACCAGTTTGTAAACAATGTAGACTGCACATGTGAAATTTCAGGCCTTGTTAAACGAAAGAATAACAATCCTTACAGCTATA